GGGCGCAGCGTTTGCACTGAGAGGCAGCTCCGCCGCGCTCAGAGGCGACCGGGAACGCGGTTTCTTTCGCTTTTCCTCTTTTTGTGTTGTTTCGGCTTTTGAAGGCTTTTTATTTTCTTCCCCTAAATGGTCTTTATTTGGGAGAACAGCTTAAATCCAGTCTCACCCCCATCCCCGATGCAATGGGAGCGAACATTCTTGTTAGTATGCGCACACCACATCCCCGACCCCCTTTCTTTCCCGGGGTTGCGAAGCACCCCCTGGGCGGGTGTGCGTACTTGAGGCTCTGCTTGTGCGTGGCCCGTGGGACTGGAGGGCGACGGCTACGGTCCCATCTGCCCACACACAGGAGTCCGCAGAACTGGTCCGTGCGCCAGGGTCCGAGGGCGGGGCTGGTAGGTGCCAGAGATCAGAAGAACGTGGGGGCCCGCTAGCCAGAGACAAGTGTGAGTACGTTCGGGGCGAGTGTAGGGCTCGGGCTAGACGACCCTTCCTTCCACGCCCACCAGCTCGGCCCCGATCTTGAGAGATTTGGAAGATTCCGGAGACGGGAAGAACCGGGCAGTCTAGGGAACCCGGCTCTGAAACTGCTCTTCAGTGTTGAGGCCTCCTGAGGCTGCGAGGGGAGGGGCATAACGGAGAGTCAAAGACCCGGCTGTTCCCCGCCCCACCATCCAGACCACGCCCAGCCGTCCCGTTTTAGCCAATCCCAGGGCTCTCTGGGCGCAAGCCCCACCTTCCTAAGACTCCACCCTCACAACGCTGGGCCACGCCCCTAGGCAACGCGTCAGTCCCGTCCTCCTAGGGCTCCAGGCCCCGCCCCAGACAACAAACCCAATGTTCTAAGCCCCGGCCCCGGGAGCAGGCCCCCCCCACCTCCGACGTAGCGTAGCCCTCCCCCCCTGAGCCCCGCCTCGTGGACAGAAACCCCGCCCCGTACCTGGTGTAAGGGGGTGGAGGCGCGTCGTGTACCCCAGAGGCCTCCAGAGCCTCCTCATAGGTGGGGAGACCTGGAGGTGGGGGTGGAGGCAGGGGCGTCGGCGTGTCCACGGGGCTGATGAGCACCACCCTGGGGACAGAGAAGATGTGCTGTTCGCCAGGAAAGTCTCTGGACAGAGAGACTGGGGGAAGGGGGTTGGATCTGAACAGACAAGACTGCAGGGGGCAAAGGCCAGAGGTGGCAGACATTAGAAAAAAGAAGGGTCACCTTCAAGTCAGCCTGCCCCAAGAAAGGCCAGGCAGGTGACCATGAGGGCAGACAGCCCTGCACACCCAGACACGGACAGACTGAGAAATAGGCACATACAACTAGAAGTACTGGAGCCGCAGACATCTCCCAAGTCCTCCATCGCATGGCAAGCCCCCAGACCCATGCTATTGTACATCCGCTCCCACTCTCTCCCACCGAGAGGCAGACTAAGATACACACACACACACACACACACTCACCGCAGAAACCCACACACAAGGGAACAAAACCCCAGATAAACAACAAATACCTTTTTAAAAAATTTAAGTGGAAGGACCCCTGGTAGCTTAGTGGGTTACATGCTGGGAACGTGCTAATCACAAGGTGTATGGGTTGAAAACACTGGGGCACCTCTAAGGAGAAAGGTGTAGTTGTCTGCTTCCGGAAAGACTGATGGCCTCAGTATCGACTGATGGCCGTGAGACTATCAAACCAAACCAACTCCCTGCCTCGAGTTAATCCTGCCTCACCAGGGCCCTATAGGGCAGTATAGAACTGCCCTACAGTTTTCTAGGCTGTAAACCTTATGGGTGCATTTGGATCGTGGTGCCGGAGAATACTGGACGGACCACGGACTGTTAAAAGGGCAATCCGATCTGTTTTGGAAGAAGTAGGGCCGGAGCGCCCCTTACTTACAGAGGCCAGGATGGCGAGACTTGCTCTTACCTGCTTTGGACATATTATCAGAAGAGAACAGTCCCTGGAGAAGGATATCATGCTAGGTAAAATGGAGGGGTGGCGGCAAGGAGGAAGGCCCCCAAGGAGCTGGAGGGGCACAGTGGCTGCTGCAACAATAGGCTCAGGCACAGGAACCATGGTGAGGATGTTGTGCAGACGGTCACTGTGGGTCGGAACCAGCTCGATGGCACCTAACCACCCCTGGAGCCACTGGGCAGCTTCGGATTGCAAATCTCTTGGGCTGCAATTGATCACTTTAACCACTGTGTCCAGAGGGCTGGTTGGCATACGACAAACCTGAGCCAACAGTGACCTTGTGGTCACTGTGGTGACCCCGTCGGTCAGAGGAGAACCCCCTCCGTGGGTTTCTGAGGCTGTCAGGGTTCACAAAGGTTGGCAGCCACATCTTGCTCCCTCAGAGCAGTCTGTGTGGGCTCGAACTGCTGACCGTTGGGTTAGCCGCCCAGTGCTGAACTCACAGTACCATCAGAACTCCTAACGGAAGGCCCCATGGAAGTATGCCCCAGGCAATAAAACCCATAGTCATGGAGTCCACTCTGACTCCTAGCGACCTCACAGACGTTTCCAAGGCGTTTGTAAGTTCTTCCTAGCAGTGGCTGGTGGATTTCAACCGGCGACACTACAGTTAGCAGTCCAAGGCGTACCAAGCATGACCACAAAGGCTCCTTATCCCATGCAACAGCTGAGCTACTATTAAAACGATTTAAAAAAAAAACCCAGTTTTGAAACAGATGGTGGCAGCAATTGTACAATTGTGCTTGATCTAATGGAACCATGGATTGTTAGATCTGTAAGAGCCCCCGAAAAGTGGGTGAAGGGAGTGGGTAAGAAATGACAAAATAATAATAACTTATAAATTATCAAGGGCTCTTTGAGAAATGATGTACAAATGCGCTTTACACAATTGATGTGTGTATGGATTGGGATAACAGTTGTATGAGCCCCTAATAAAATGTTAAAAAAGAAAAAAAAATGCAAAAAAATAAAAAAAGTAAATGTTGAGAAAATAATGATGGCAACATATGTACAAGTATGCTTGATGCAATGGATGTATGGATTGTTACACGAGCTGTAAGAGCCCTCAATAAAATGATCTTTTAATTTGAAAAAAAAAATTATCAAGGGCTCATGAGGGACGAGGGATCGGGGAGGGAAGGGAAAAATGAGGAGCTGATAAGAAAGGCTCAAAAAAAAAAAAGAAAGAAAGAAAGGCTCAAGCAGAAAGCAAATTTTTGAGAATGATGAGGGCAATGAATATACAAATGTGCTTGACACAATGGATGGCTGGATGGATTGTGATAAGAGTTGTACGAGCCCCCAATAAAAGGATTTAAAAACAACAACAAAACACTGCCCTTGACTCAATTCCAATTCATAGCAACCACAGAGGACAGAGCAGAGCTGCCCTTGTGGATTTCCAAGGCCGTCAGTCTTTATGGGAGCAGACAGCCTCCTCTTTCCCCCTCGGAGTGTCTGGGGGTTTCAAACTGTAGACCTTGTGGTTAGTGGCCCAACATGTAATCAACCAGCCCACTGTGGGTCCTTACTTACACTTAAAAAAAAAAAAAAGGTTTTTGTTATGTATCTGATATAAACAGGCAGACACACTTCCCTCACCCCACAGTGACATAATCAGCAGATGTCACCAGCAAACACAGTCCACACGACTGTCCCCTCAGGTCCTCCTTGGTGCCCACCAACCTTTAGCCCATTCTACAAGTAGACCCTCCAGTCCATCGGCTCTCCCTCCCCCCTCTCTCCCCACCCCGGCCTCCTGAAAGCCCCCTTACTCTTGGGGACTGGACTGCTGGTTTCGGCGCCGTCGGTAATTCAGATACCAGAGAGCTCCCACGCCGGACAGGATGATGAGAAGAAAACCAGAGGCCAGCCCCACTGCCAGCCCTGCGAGGTCCACGCGTCTGCGCCCTGAGGGTGCGGGGAGAGAAAGCCACTGCCTGAGGGGACACACCCCCTCCCACAAACACCCCCCCCCATGTACACCCGGACATCCAGTATCCCTGGTTCGTGTCCTCAGAAAGGGCTCTGAAGTCAGGGCGGGCAGGGACCACTTCCTAGCCATCAGACTTCAAGCAGTTCACCTTGCCCACTTCTCTGAAATGGACTTCCTATTCTGTGACATGGGAACGAGATGGCCGGGCTCACGGACTGGGACATTTCACTGATGCCAGATGTTATCAACGTATAAATGGCTTGTGCACAGATGGCAATGGAAGCTTCACAAGGGACTAGGGGAGACAGGACCAGACACCCCAATGGGCATCAGGAGTCTCAGTCCCCCAAGTGTAAAGCCGGCCAGGTTGCTATGCTGAAGACGGGCGGGTGTGTGTTGGGGCGTGGGCTCTTGTAGCTTCCAGGTGTCAGATTCAGTTAAATGGGCATTTCTGACAAATCGAGCACCATTTTTTCTAGGGTCCCCACAGCTCAGGAGCCCTGGGGGCTGCTCACCGCAAGGTCAACATCTCAAAGCCACCAGCTGCTTTTCAGGAGAAAGATGGGGCTTTCTACTCCCATCTAGGGTTCCAGCCTTGGAAACTCACAGGGGCAGATGGACTCTGTCCTGCAGGGCCCCCATGAGTGGCCATGGACGCGATGGCCAGGACGGTGAGACTTCATCCTACGTGTTTTGGAAGTGTTGTCCGGAGAGACCAGTCCCCGGACAAGGGCATCCTGTTTGGTCAAGTGGAGGGGCAGCAAACAAGAGGAAGGCCCTCCAGGAGATGGCCTGTGTCAGTCAGTGTCTGCGACCAAGCTTCGGAACCATGGAGAAGCTGTCCCAGGGCGGGGCTAGGACTGCATGGTCCAGGAAAGGTTTGGGATGTAGTTACATTAAAACAAAGGCAACCTCTGGCTATTCATATGAACTTCCAACTCCATGGGGTGTGGCCCACAGGACCCAGCTTTTAAATTCAAATTCACCACCATGGAATCCATTCCAACTCACAGCTACCCCATCAGGCAGGGCAGAACGGCCCCTGGGGGTTTCCCACCGTCTCTATCCTTTCTGAGTCGAGTTCCCTCCCTTTAGGGCCGACCTCCGCGCTTCTCAGACTGCGATTTTCAGAGGTTGGAGGTGCGTGGCCACCCTGCTCATCGCCACGTGCCCAACAGCAGATGGCCATTTCAATTCTCCTTGTGGTCCTGGCAAAGGACCCAGGGTGAAGATTCCCAAACTTACTTGGCCTACCACCCCCCTTTTCAAAAAAAAAAAAAAGGCTCGCAGCCCCTTGGGAAATGCAGAAACCAACCTTCCTGTGATTGAGGGATCACCCATCATCAGGGATGGAGGAGGAGGGATTGGCTTTTGCAGCATCCCCTGGATGGTTCAGCGCTCCCCCAGCGGGGAACTGTCGCCCACCTTGGGATAAATGGACGCAGTGCAGCCTCTCTTCTCCCACAAACAAAACCCGAGGCCATCGAGTTTAACGCCAACTCATAGCGACCCCACAGCGCGGGGTAGAACTGCCCCTGTGGGTTTCCCAGCCTCTTTCTCCTGGAGCGAGCCGCTGGTGGTTTCGAACTGGGGACCTGGCCGTTAGCAGCCCAGCAGGCTACCCACGGCACCACCAGGGTGGACACCTCTGTTTTATCCTGGATTGCCATCTCTCATATCAAAATTTTTAATTGGGGGAGTGGAAGGGGAGCAGGCACTTAATTTTTTTTTTCCTGAAAAGGGGGTGGTCGGCCAAATGATTTGGGGGACCTATGTTACAAGGAGAGCTCCTAAGACCTGCTTTGGGAGGTGCAGCCCCCCCCTGCCCCCCATTCCCATCCCCTCCAGTAGTAACCCAAAGCCTCATCTCGAAGGAAACGGAGCCAGCACAGGTAGGCGGGGCGCTCAGGCTTGGTGCGGCCTGGATGGGCGGTTTGAGTGGGCTTTCTTTGGCCTTTATTTCCTCCAACCAGGGCCCCTGGGCTTTCCTAAGCCCCCTTAGCAAACTAGTCTCGACAAGGCCAATCCTGCAGATTCAAGACACTTGTCAGGTAGATTGGGGGTGGCACCCGGCTTCTCTGGGCGGGTCGTGGAAGAGGGGCCGCCCCTAGCAACCAGGAGCCAATGTGAACGAAGCAACCTAGGACTGGGGCCTGTTGCTAAGGTGCATTGCCCCCTCTCGCCCCCCACCCAAGCAACCAGGCCAAAAGGGGGTGGGGCTTCTGTGCCCGGATGGGGATGTGTGTGTGCGTGTGTGTCTTTTGCAGTGGGCAGGAGGCCTTGGGTCTTTGGGCCTGACTAGGCCTGGTTGCTAGGGAGAAGGCCCCCTTAGCAACCAGGCCCAGACTGGATGGGGCTGTGGGGGAGGGGAAGCCAGCTAGCCAGGTACTTCCTCAGACTGGCCTGGCCAGCCTTCGTTGCTAGGGAGCAGCCCCCCTTAGCAACAAGGCTGCAGTCACCAGGGGGAGGACTCAGAACTCAGAGGGGAGGGGGTGGACTGGTCAGGTAAGGATGCCCCCAGCTTGGCCAGTCTCCGTTGCTAGGGAGCAGCCCTCCTTAGCAACGCCGCTGCCTTTGGGGCCCGAGGTGGCAGAACACCAAAAGAGTGGCTCTGGGTAGGATGTAACCTCTCCCTCCACCTGGGCACCCTTCCCTCCTCCAGCTGGGAACACTTCTGCACGAGGTGCAGGGC